AACTTACAATTAAAAACGGTATCTAAGCTTATCGGAACAATCTACTGCACACCTGTTACAAGAACCAGATAAGACTGCACACTAGTTACAAAAACCAGATGAGACTGTGTCATTGGATCTTCCTAGACATCCAGTAAGTCTCGCCTTGCCATGTTCAAGAAAGTTGAATATGATATTTACCAAGATGATCAACTCGAATGCGCACGACTCCTAATCGGTTTGATCTTTGAGCAATAGACTACTTAAAACTTAAAAATGTCGGGGAGAATGTGATGAAATTGATCATTATTATTATTGTTTTATAATATTTCTTATTGTTTTAGGTAATAAAAAGTTAAAAAGAAATTATTCAGTTATTGTCATTTATCCTTCAAGTCCACATCAAGCTAAAACAATCTTTTAAATAGTTTTACGCAGAATAATAACTACTTCATTTAATTTAAGTAGCCAGTTTATGTAGGTTAAATATTTGGCTTAAAATTTTCAACTGAAAACAACAAGTTTAATGCAATGATTTTTTGCGTCCCGTAAGTAACATAGCATATAATCAACTATAATTCCTATAGTTATAATATTTAAACGAAATTTCAATATACAGGAAAACGAATAAATGATTTTGGGATGATTCATATATAAACATATAATCTGTTAAAATAAAAAATAAATAATAAAATGTGACATTACAAAAATCAAAATGTCCGGTAAGTAACAGTGGCATTGCCCACCAACATAATTTACACCTTAATCTTCAATGATGCACCCTATCAGATACACTCACTTTTCCTAATCTCTATATAAGATCACCACTTCTTTTCTTGTTTTTAGAGTTGCACCACACATATATCTGATTCTTGCCTTTTCAATTCTTTCCAAATAGTGGACATCATTAAATGGACATCATCTTTATTGCATATGTTTCACTGCTACGCATCATTATATCTAGGCTCACATAGCGTATATCTTTTCTTTAATCTTTTATAATACACTTCTTGCTGTTAGAAGTATATATATATATATATATAATATATATATATATATATATATATATATATATATATATATATATATATATATATATATATATATATATATATATATATATATATATATATATATATATATATACATATATATATATATATATATATATATATATATATATATATATATATATATATATATATATATATATATATATATATATATATATATATATATATATATATATATATATAACAATAATTTTAAATGCATTCTATAAGATAGAGTGCTGAATATTCTTAAAAGAACAGAGCAACAAATTATAGATGGTAGTATTCGATATACATATATATCGAATAGTAATATATCGGTAGAAATATTCAATATATTTATATATATCAAATGTATAAATATTTAATAATGTTTTAGATATATATAGTGCTACTGTTATTATACCATATTAAAACAAATTAACATATTTAAAAACAAACACGTTTGGAAATCAAGTTGAAAAACTTTTTCCGTAATTCGTATAAGTTGTTCCAAGGGAGTTAAAATATTATGGGGATTTAATTTGTTTCGCCGACAGGGGTTAATTTATTTCAAGGGGAGTTAATCTATTTCAAAATAGATTAACTCCCAAGATAACTTTTTACGCTACGGGAGTTAATTTATTATGGGGGTTAATTTATTTCATGACACCGGCATTCAAGTCTATAAATGAAAGTGAAACCTTTTGGAAGATAATCTGACCGAATTTTTTTTAAATTATTTAAAAATTGGTAAATTGATAAAATCAAAAAAATAAGACTTGTTTAAAAATAAAATGTTTAAATATACCATTGTTTTTTGATTGCTTAATGATGTATATATATATATATATATATATATATATATATATATATATATATATATATATATATATATATATATATATATATATATATATATATATATATATATATATATATATATATATATATATATATATATATATATATATATATAGTATATGTGTATGTAGTATATATATATATAGTATATATATATAGTATATATATATTATATATATTAAATATATATTATATATATACATATATATATATATATATTATATGTATATATAGTATATATATTATATATATTAAATATATATATATATATATATATATTATATGTATATATAGTATATATATATAGTATATATATATTATATATATTAAATATATATATATATATATATATATATATATATATATATATATATATATATATATATATTAATATATATATACATATATATATATATATATATATATATATATATATATATATATATATATATATATGTATATATATATATGTATATATATATATATACGAAATCTATAATTTTAGGATAGGTGGGATGGTGATTAGAAAATATTAAAAACCATCCCGCTACCTTTTTTTTCCCCACTTCGAACACTGTATATATATATATATATATATATATATATATATATATATATATATATATATATATATATATATATATATATATATATATATATATGTATATATATATATATATATATATATATATATATATATATATATATATATATATATATATATATATTTAGTAAAAATAATATATATACTTGAAGATTCATTTACAATTAAGTGAGAACTTTTTTTTTCTTGTGTTACAATCTAATACTTTGGAGGGGCTCAGAAAAAAAATAAGCTGGTTTCTTTTACTAAACTTCTTTTACTAATTACAGTCATATAGAGTTCAAGATAAGAAAAAGTTTTTTCACAGGGTCTGTAAGGTATAATAGTGCCGAATGGAATTACTCATATTCCAGAACTAGAAACCAATATTTCTCTTTTTCTGCACTAAATGGCTTGCACTGATTTGGAATTGGTTGTCTTGGATTCTACTACTTGAAGAACATTACGAAAGTGTTTTTCATACTTAGTTACACCCAGAAATTTATGGCACATTTTCACATCATTCTCTGCTGCTTCATTTACCACCAGAAGTTTGTCGACAACCAATTTAATGTTTTGATAGTCTTTTCTATTAATCCAGTCATGCGCTGGAATATGGAGGAATTCATAGGGCAAATCAAAAATATTTAAAAATCTGAATGAATCCCACCCAATTAGGTTAACTGAAGAAATACCATTATTTATTGTAGGAGGAAGATAGACCTTGTCATATCCCCCAAAGTTAAGTGTAACTGTCTTTGTTACAGAAGTGTTTTCAAAGGTAACAATGGATTTCCTCATTTCCTTTTTTGTTTTTACTGCTATCATAGATGAGAGCCATGCTAATGGAATCAAATCCTCAGATAAGTACCAAGTGTGGTGACTGAATGTCATGTGAGCGTTTTCAACTAGAGTTAAGTCATGCTAGCAAATTTTTCACAAAAATCAAGTCATTTACTGGTGCGCTAGCTGGTACAGGACAAACAAGCCACCACTGCACATAAACTAAAATTGTGAACTCAACAAATTGTTCCAACTTTTTTATAATTTGCTAGTAACAATTTCAGCTTTTGGAAAATGTTCTTTGATCTTTGATCACAGAAGCATAATATTCAGAGTATAAAGCAGTTTACTCATCCACCTTGTAAAATAAAAGATATAACCTATTAAACTTAACTTTTAATATCAAAATATTTGGATTAAATATATAAAGAAACTGGCAAAGCTCCAAGAGCTTTACCAGTTTTTTTAGTTAATTTTGGCTTTGTATCTTTGTACCATGAGCTCTAGACTTAGTATCACTTTGTACCAATGAGCTTTGTAGCATTAACTCCAGACACAAGAATTGGCATTTGGTCATTTGTTCCTTTGGAATCAAGAGTGTTCATAAGTTTTCAATACCAATGCACCAGCATTCTTAGTGATAGCATCCAATTTTCTTTGACCTTTAAACTTATTTCAGGTACATAGTTGTTTTATATCTGTGTTCTTTCCTTGCATTTAGACATACCTTGTAAGGGTCACCCCTAATTGCTGCTACAAGTGAGTACACAATGGCACTAAGTTGGTTTGATGAGATGTTGTTACAGATACTACATGAAACAAAGTCAGGGTTTTTCAATATGTTATGAGGATCAAAGATATCTATGCCACAAATAACTATTCTTCTGTGTTTCTTATTCTGTGATCTGTTGCTAATTTCTTCAATATTCTTATCCTCACAAGAGATACTACCTGGTTCAAGATTTATCATTTTAAAAGTATGTTTATATTGGTTCATTTCTTCTTGTTCAAGGTTATTTTTTTGTCTTTCTATTCTATTCTATTCTATATATTTCTATTAATTTTTTTGTCTTTTCTGTGATTACCTTGTCCACCCCAGAACTTATATAAAGTTTAATTGTATAATTCAATTCTGATTTTAATTTTAATTATTCTAGAATTCTTCATTTTCTCATCTTTTATAATCTTTCAATTTCATCAAAGTAATGAATTCATAATAATCTTTGATTTCTCGACTAATATTGTTTCTGCCTACTAGAGTTGGGATATTAGCTTAGTGGTAGTGTAAGAGCACATAGTCTATAGTTTCAGATAATGCTTGAGCCCAATGCAAATCTTTCAGATTTGATAAAAGGCATAACAAGACCTGTCTCTGTGTTGAAAGTTTAGAACCCTCTATTTTCTTATCATCATCTCCAGAAATGGTGCCAAGTAATAGTTTCATATATTTGTTGTTTACTTTTTTAATTATGATTAAATACAACAAAATACATCAACAATATTAACATAGTATATATATATATATATATATATATATATATATATATATATATATATATATATATATATATATATATATATATATATATATATATATATATATATATAAATATATATATATATATATATATATATATATATATATATAAATATATATATATATTTTTATATATATATATATATATATATATATATATATATATATATATATATATATATATATATATATATATATATATGTATATATATATAAATATTTTTTTTTTTATATAGAAAATGAATTGAACAGAATATAAAAACAGAATAAGAATGATATTTTGAAGACATTTCATAAAGTTTTGCTAGCTTTTTTTGGAAAATGGACAAACCAAATTTTAATTTGAGTGGTTCTAAAAGTTTAGCAACAGATGTAAAAAAACCTATACCACCTCTGCGTCCTGTACCAGTTCCACGTCCAAAAAAAAGTGTGTCAATAGGAAACAATGACTTGTGTATGTCAAAAAATGAATTTGAAGATAAAAATAGTAGTTCTCAAAATTTTAACTTACTTTTAAGTAAACCATTATCTAATAATCTAGGGTTTCATATAAATGACAAAGAAATTAAAGAGAAAATAAATATAGACTCTAATTTGAAAGAAATGTTTTCTAATGTCAGTTCATTGAATGTTTTAAAATCATCAGAGGCATCTCAAGATAATGAATTATACAGTGCAAAACCAAATTTTTTTTTGAATGATTCCTTTAACAACTGTTTAGGAAATAATAAAGAATTTTTAAGTTTAAATTATGAAAAATTTTTTGATTTAAGTAAAGAAGATTCTGTTATACCCTTTCATGATAATGCATATGTTAACAAAACTTTGTTTGAAAACAAAATTCAGTTAAATAAAGGTAGAAAGGAGTTGGAATTATTGGTAAAAACTTATGCATCTTCTTCGGATACAAGGATTGTTGCTGAGAAATTACTGAACTTAGATCTATCAATAGCCTCAAAATATGTTGTTTTGGACATTTTATGTTTTTTACAATCAAACAAGGTTATTTGATTTTATGTTTGCATATATAATATATTTATGTAATATATATATATATATATATATATATATATATATATATATATATATATATATATATATATATATATATATATATATATATATATATATATATATATATACATTTATTTATAAATATATAATATATATAGTATAATAAAAAATATATATTTTATAAATATATATATATATATATATATATATATATATATATATATATATATATATATATATATATATATATATATATATATATATATATATATATATATATATATATATATATATATATATATATATATATATATATATATATATATATATATATATATTAGGGCTGTTCAGTATGCTAATTTGTTTTCAGAACATAGCTAATTGAAGTTTTTCCTATTCAACTATCATATTGTGGTTCAAAAATATTTTTTACTAAATTTTATTATTTGCCCTAAAGGTCCCTCAAAGCCACTAAACATTTGACAGGTCCCTAATATTATTAAAAAAAATTATTTAAAAATATGTCTACTTGGTACTCAAAAGAAGCAAAATTTTATAAAAATTTTAAAAATTAGATTCATTTTTTATAAAAAACAACTTAAAGAAACTTATTATTAAAAATGTTATGAATATTACCTTTTTTTCATTTTTCGTTTAAAAACTATAGTTTTCATTAAAAAAAACCTAATATTGTTATTTTTATAAAAAATACTTTTTGTTTTTGAAATTTTTAAATGATTTTGCTTCTTTTAAGTACCAAGTTGACATATTTTTAAATAATTTTTTTTCAATAATATTAGGGACCTGTCAAATGTTTAGGGGCTTTGAGGGACCTTCAGGGCAAATAATAAAATTTAGTAAAAAATATTTTTGAACCACAATATGATAGTTGAATGGGAAAAACTTCAATTAGCTATGTTCTGAAAACAAATTAGCATACTGAACAGCCCTAAAATATATATATATATAATATATATATATATATTTTAGGGCTGTTCAGTATGCTAATTTGTTTTCAGAACATAGCTAATTGAAGTTTTTCCCATTCAACTATCATATTGTGGTTCAAAAATATTTTTTACTAAATTTTATTATATATATATATTATATATATATATATATATATATATATATATATATATATATATATATATATATATATATATATATATATATATATATATATATATATATATATATATATATATATATATATATATTTAGCGAGTTTAGATGTGCACTGCTTTAATATATCCCAACCAATGCTGCAACTTTATTTTAGCTTTTTAACTAGCAAGAATTTTGATAATAATTATTATTATTATCGAAAATTGTGGAATTAGTGGTGCAAGATCCTAAACAACACACCCTTTTTTTTTTTTTAAAGATAAGACATCATGGTCTTATTATATCTGAGGAGAAAGATGTGTTTGCTAGAGAAGACCAAATGAGGCACAACATAATGTCCAACAAATTGAATTGGAAAAAAAAAGTGAAATATTAAACTCCCAGAATTAAAGCTGCTTCATATGCCATTTTGCCATTTCAATTTGCTTTCCATTAATGCTATACCTACTCTAAGCTAACTGACGTAAACGAGTCAGCTACTCACCAAAGATGAGTCTTTTTCAACATCAAAAAAGTTGCAGACGCTATTACTAGAGCTCAAAATCAAAATATTATTACAAATAATATTATTAAAAAGTTCACCCCCAGCTAAAACAAACACAGCATCAGCCTTAACTATCTTAACCAGTACAACCATCATGCCTCAATCTTAAAAAGAAAATCTACAACTCAACCATCACCTTTAGTCAGATGTTTTTCTGTCATATCTCATCAGCCCAAATAACAGAAAAACCTTTCTAGTAAGGTTGTCAGTAATATCATTTTTGGGCATATAAGCTATGCTCATTAAATTAAATCAAAATTGACAAGTTAAGATTCAAACTACAAACAACCACCAAGTATAAAAGCCTACATCTTATTTTCTTTGCTGAGACATGGTTTACTGAGGCTTCAGGTATTGCAGGGTATTGTTAATGCAGGTTATTACAGGCTGTTGCAGGATATAATGTGCATATGCTGAACAGGGCTGAAAAGATTGAAATTAGCATAGTCAGGGGTGTAACATTGTTGTCATTTGGCAGTACAGGATGACCCCCTTTCTCTTACTTGTTGTGTAATTTGAGGTTACATCTCTAGCAGCTATACAACTAAACAAAAACCCTTTAAAATAGCTTTCTTTTTATTAGGTTTTAGTCTTTTTAGAATTATTTTACCCAAATTTTTACTCTATTTTTAGAACTATTTTATATTCTATTTGATTATTATAAATAAGCCAGACATGTTAATTTACTTAAATTAAGCAAAACCTTTGGGGTCTACCCGGGAGAGTCACAGGAGAGTACCTGGGAGAGTCAAGCCTAACTATTGAAGGTTAAATGGCAACAGAATTAATAAATGTTAAACCAAAAATTTCTCTGCAGCAAGGCAAACTACTCCTTTTAATATTTTATATCTCAAAATATAATAAGTATCAGTGAGTCAGTATTTGAAAGAATATCAGAAGCCTAAAAATTCAGCCTAATTATTAAATATAATAAAGCCATCTCATTTTATATATCCAGTAACACAAAACCATACTAGCCAATAAAAATCTGCTAACTAATTTAATAAAGTATCACCAAAAGGGATTCAGTTCTTATGTACAAAACAAATACAAAGTTCATGATATAATCCATTTATTTAGAGACATAAATGATTTGGTGACTATTAACATAGCTAATATGCAGGATGCTCAATATTTATTTTTATACAGTATTTGGAAGTGGCCATTACTTCATTTTTAAAATCAATCATTGTCCAGTTACAACAGCATATTTGATTTCATCACTAATGAAATTGTTCAAAAGCAGATTGCTGAAGCTTGATCTGCCAAAAGCAACAGGTCTTGATAAAATCCTTTTTAAAGTCTTGAAAAATTACCCAAACGTTTTTTAACAACTTTATTTAATCCTTCCTTTTTAACCTCCTTTGTTCCAGATCAATGGAGAAAGGCAGAACTAACACCTTTATTCAAAAACTCCTGCAATTGCTGGTCAATTTCCAAAACTTCAGTTCTTTGTAAGGTGTTAGAAGGTGTTATTATGCTGTCTAGTTATGCAGCATTGTGTCAAAAACAACTATTTTACACTAGCTCAGCATGGCTTTATCTAAAAGGGGGGTGCATAACAAACCTGTTGAAATCATGTGATAATGTTATCAATGCCATCAATCAAGGTTTTGCAGCTGGTAATATTTATACAGACTTTTCGAATCCATTTGACAAGGTATTGCACAAACAACTTTTATATAAACTATAGGCCTACGGCATTTAAAATTAATTACATGAATTTATAGAAAGTTGATTGACCAATAAAAAGGACTACTCTTTTTGTGCTCTGACATTTGACTTTGATAGAGATGTATGCAGATAAAAGCAAGTTATTAGAAATTATTAAATCAGAAAAAAATTAGTTAGATATTATTAAATCAGAAAAAAATGCACTGTCTTTAATAAAATCTTGATACAGTTGTTAACTAGTTTTAAAAATGGCTCATACCATTTAAATTGAAAAGTGCAAGGTTATAAAAATTAGCTTAAAAAAATTAAATAAGCCAAATCTTATTTATACAAAAATATCTGAAAATCTTCTTCATTATGAACTCAAAACCACAGCAATAGAGTGTGGCTTAGGTTTATATATTAAACTTAGATTAATCTTAAGTTTAAGTTACAAGCTGCGCACATCAGCTGCAGTTGGAAAAAGAGGGAAAATTAAAAAAAAAAGGATTTGAAAGTTGTGATTGATTATTTTGTAGTATGAGGTCATTTCACTCAAAATGGAAGTGTTTTCATACAGAAGTACAAAATTATCAATGGAATTGATTTTATTTAATTGGTTTAATTAAAATTGTGGCATCCCAAATTACACCAGTTTATCGAGGACTCAAGTATAGTCTAAGATAAAGGAACCACATTTTTGAATTAGCTGTTAAAAAATTAGAAACACAATGAAAGACACAATTTTTTTATGAATGGAGTAGTTAAAAATTGAAGTACTTTATTTACTACCACAGTATATGCATCCAGTGGTGCCAATTGTATTTTTTGGTCTTCAAGATAGCTAACTTCCAGACATGGAGCAAACTCCAAACATTTATATGTTTATACTTATGTCAAATAAGGATGCTTTGCAAAAAATTGTGATAATTAGAGCTTAGGAACAAAAAAGCCCTAAAATTTTGGACCCCTCCCTGCCCCAAACGTGAGAGCAACAAGTTGATGAAAATTTTTTTTGTACTATTTTCAACTAGACTTATATTCATATATAAATTTTAAGTTTCATAGTAAAATATTTTAGCATTCAAAATTATGACCATATAAAGTTCAAACCCCTCTTAATTTGAGGGGGTTGCAGACTTTATATGGTCTTTTTGAACGCAGAGAGATAATAATATGAAACTTAAAATTTATTGATGAATATAAGTCTAGTTGAAAATAGTACAAAAAATATTTCATCAACTTGTTGCTCTCACGTTCGTGGCAGGTAGGGGGGGCAAAATTTTAGGGCTTTTTTGTTTCCAAGCTTCAATCATCACAACATTTTGCAAAGCAGCCTTATTTGACATAAGTATAAGCATATAAATGTTTGGAGTTTGCTCCATGTCTGGAGGTTAGCTATCTCAAAGACCAAAAAATGCAAATGGCACCGCTGCATGCATCATTACTTAATAGTTTTAAAAGTAGATTGAAAATTAAAAAGAAAAAAAGATTAATTGGTTGCAATTTGGCTGGTGCAACGATAAGTCAAATATTGTCAGAAAAGAGGGATCCTTATCTGTAGGGTTGCCATTGTCCTAATTTTTCCATAGAAGAATTTAATGAAAATTTTAGTTTTAACTAGTTTAGCGCTGCGCTCTTCTATGTAAAAAACAAGACAAATGACAACCCTACTTATGCAGTTTTAAATAAATTGTTTATTGTGATTTATTTTTATTATTTATAATTTCAAAAAATTTGTAAATATTAGTTATTGACAACTGAATAAATATACTAAATAGGGAGTTATAGAGTTGAGAGAGGATTGTAACCTCAACTAAAGTTGAGGTTACAATCCTCAACCTCGACTGTAGTGTTCTTCATGGCCTTGGGAGGTGAATTCAAATAAATAAAAAAACAAAAAGGATATATATATATATATATATATATATATATATATATATATATATATATATATATATATATATATATATATATATATATATATATATATATATATATATATATATATATATATATATATATATATATATATTTGTAATTTTCCTATAAGACACTAGTTTATGATTAAGTTTATAAAAAAGAAAACATTCATTTTAACAACAATTTTACAAACTTTAGGATACTGATATCACTAAAATTCCTACAACATTTAATCTACTTGAAAAATATGGTATGAATCTTTTAAAAGAAGAGAGCTCAAGACACCATTCTTGGAGAATAATTTCAACTTCTTCAAACTTGTATAAAACATCAGTTGGGACAGTAATTGGTGCTGATATTATTATTCAAAGCATGGGTTACACAGAGAAAGTTAAACAAGTTACAGGAGACTTATTAGTTTTTCCATCAGGAGAAAAACCTAATAATGTCTTAGTAATGAATTTAGTTATAGATTTGTTGATTGCTAAATATGAAATAGATTTTTTGTTGAAGCACAAACATCCTTATTTTGAAAAATTGCATATGTCTGGTAATATTCCAGATGTTTACTTTACTTATGTGTCAAATATTTTTTCAACCTTTGTTGTTGAACAACATGGTTCATTTGTTTACCAAACTCCAAAAAGTTTTCAATTTGCTTCTAACTCACCTTTATCTCAAGAAATTCCTTCAGTTAGTTCTAACATATCTGCAGGTATATTAACATTTCTACTTGTTTTGTAAATAATGATCTTAAATATTGTTATTAACAAAGTTAATATATAATTAATACATATTTTATTTAATAATATATATTATATATAGTAAAATTTATTAACAGATAATTTATTAAGGTAACAATTATATATTATTTTGTTTGTTTTAAAACAAAGTTTTGTTTTAAAATAAACAAAATGTTTAAGTAGTTTATGATTATAATTTAGAGGTTGTTTAATTTTTTTTTTCCACAATAGAGAATTTTTTGTGTCCTAAGTGCAGCTGCCTATTTATTGAGCAGCCTAAGTTTTGTTCAAATTGTGGACATCAAACACAGGATAACTATCATCAAATCCATAGTAATAATAATCGAGCATGCGATAATCTTTCAGTTTTGGATAAACAAAGTATAGTTAAAACAGAGCTGAAGCAAAATCACTTGAAAACAACTTATTTGAAGCAAGAATATACGAAAAAAATGCATTTGTCTTTTTTTGAGATTGGGCAAACAAAAAAAACTGAAAAGTTCATGGTAATGCAACAGTGGAGTTGTCAGTATTGTACATTATTAAATGATTTATCTGTTTTAGTTTGTCAAGCATGTGAGCAACCTTTTTCTGATCGAAAAATGGTGAATAATATATTAGAAATTTATTTTTATATAAATTAAAAAATGTAAGGTAATTTGGTTACTTAATATATAGTTTTTTATTTTATTGATTCCAAATTAATCCATAATGATAATGATGATGGTGATGATGATGATGATGATGATGATGATGATGATAGCAATCATAACGGTGAAAAAGATAATGATGATAATGATGATCATTGTTAATTATAATTGTCATCATCATCATCATGATCATCTTTTTCATCATTATCATCACTTTTTTATACATGCATGTTGTTTTATAAATTAAAAATTTTTCTAGTATTAAATGAGTACACTATGCAGCATAAGTACAGTTTTTTGCATTGAATAATTAGTGGTCAAATCTTTCTGGCCATACTTGTATATACTTTATATGCAATCCTTCAGTGTACATGCGTATTAAATACATGTTCAGAAACAAGTGTATACAGTATTTACCACATTTCAACAGTCCAATTCTTGTGTTGTTGTTTTTTCAAAATTTAAGGCAAAAAATAATTTTTGAAAATTGTGTGACTTTTATCCAGTACCATATAATTTAGCTAACCATGGAACACTTTCTTAGCTTTTACCAAATATCACTATAAAGAGGTTTTTAATATCTGCAAGTTTTGCAATAGAAAAAGGTCAGGAACCTGTCACTTGTTTTGGCTTCATCTTTGAATGAAATGCTTTTGCTTTCAATGGTGACTGATAATTGTTTGTACTTGTATTACCATCTTTTTCTCCATTTGCAGTAATAATGCACTTTCCTTTTAACTTACACTAATGAACAAGTATTCTCATTAGTTTTTGCAGTCCAACAAGCGGTTTGTATGTTGCTGCTGCAGCTGTTTTAAAATCATGGGATATCCAGTACTTACTGTAAACAAACACTTTATCAGCATGCATTTTGAATATCTCATGATACTTTTCAGGTGTAGTAATATTTTTCTGGCTCGCTGTGTCTTGTGATATTTTTCCAAATAGGCGGTCACACAGTAAAAAGAATGACTTCGTATTGGAAATATCTGGCTTTAATCTAGCTTCCTCCACCAATAGTTATTTCGTGCAGCCAATTCTGAACCATGACCAAAAAAATGTTGTTTTTGTTCTGCCCTCCACAACCATCTCTGAATAATTTGACACGTGATGCTTGCCTAGAACTACCAAAATTAACAAAGACCTTACTAAGAGATGGTTCACCACACTTGCTATCTCATTTGAACCACATGCTGCTTCACTCTCAATCCATGTATAACATTATTTTTTTCCTGATGACATGTCACAGATTGCAAAATTGTATAAAGCTTGCTGTTTTACATAGAAAGTTTCCTGAACAGGCACCTTAAGTAGAACTTGTACCTGCTGGGTATACAATCTTGTATGTATCTTCATCAGAGTTCTTTAGTAAGCGGTAAAATGCAGCATGTTTCTGCAAATGAAAAATCCTTTGCAGTTTAGGTTTAACTACAACCTGGATTTTTGACTCGTGCATAATCAAATTTTTTAATTTTTCCCAAGTGGTACATTCATCTACTTGCTGAACACTAAATCCAATGTTAAAGTCAGAAACAAAATTTTTGTAAAACATCTGGTATGAGGCTTTGTGTTCATCATTACAGTTTTTATACATCTACAAGTTTTTACAACTTTTTAATTCAGATGGCAGATATATGTGTACAATTTACTATTACAGTAAAGACTTTCTCTGCCTCTCAAACTGTTCATAAATTTTTTTACACTATCTTTTTTTGCAACAGGTTTGTGAGATATTTTGTCACCACCTTGACTCTCCTTTGGTAGGCCATCACTATCATGTGAACATTTAAGTACTCCCACCAACCATTTTTTTTTAGTTAGATGCAGCAATTGCATGTAAAAAAAGTTGCACAACATTTTTTTCTCTTTTTGCCAATTGACTTTTCTTCAATCAAATAATTGCAAGCAATTGGACGAATTTTCTTGTAGAAGCATTACGTATTCAACTTTGTAATGTGTATATGCTTAATCAGTACGGTGTCTTGATCAGTCTTGACAGCTGTCTTAAACAAGTAACTTTGAAATGGCTGCATATCTTCTACTGTAAGTTTATAACACTTATATGCTGAACCTTGTTTGTGTTTGCAGGTAGCCCTCCACTCTACATTTTCAGACAAATCCGCTGTGTATCTGAAACAAAATATATAAACATTGCTGAGAGATGTTATTGAAGGAAGGATAGATAGCGAGAGAGTGGAGGTAGGGAGGTAAAGTGTTTTGAAATACTTAATGAAGTAATGAATAAGAGAATATGAAAAGAGGTGCTCAAAACAGTAAAGTGTCAAGGGAATGGATGCCTTGAACCAACTGACATGTAGAGTCCATTTTTTACATCATATTTAAGGGTCACAGTTAGAATTAGAACTAAAATCAACATAACACCGATAAAATTACTTTTTTTTCTTTTGCAACTGATTGCTTTGTTTTAATAATTTTCCACTTTCTACAACTGCTACTATGTTCTCCAACAAACTCTAAATCATCTACATCTTTGTAATTAACATGCATAATTAACAGTTCTAAACTATTGATAACTAATTTGCATCAATTTAGAAATAAATAATTTAGAAAATTTTATCATTTCTTTTTTTTAATTTTCAGTTTCTGAAGTTGTAAACATCATGTGGTTTGTTTTGATAAAGTTGATTGGTTGTCGGAATTTGTCTGATTTTGTGCAAAAATGGAATTGCAAAAATGGCATTGTCTGCTTTTGCACAATATTAGTAATTTGTCGTTACAGTAATATAGAGCCTATTTTTGCTCGAAAATCATTCATAAGCCAATGACAACCATTGTCTACTATACACAGTACACCTAATCTCGATTTTGGTAAACATTGGATTTGTCTTGTTTTGCATGGGAGCTCTTCAACTATTAAATTTTTTGATTTTTTGTTTCATTAACAAGCATAAAAAACCGTTTTTTAGCATTTTTTTTAAATACAAATCAAAATTTTAAATCTATATCGAATAACAATAATTACTGCTTTCTTTTTATTTACAGGACTGTTAATTCCTAGTGATTTTGGAATAAGTTTGCGTTTTTTACATTTTTGTAAAAATAAAAACTGGTTTTTAGATTTTGCTACCGACTTCTTCAATAACTGTAACTGTTCAGTTTGTTTGTAAACATCAGCTCCATATTTAGCTGTAATATATATCTTTAGTGTTGACATAGCGTATAAGAGTATATGTTATATTAGTCAGAAAACATCAATAGATGTTTTCTGACTAATATATATATATATATATATAATTATTCAGAGAAATTTTCTGACTTATATATATATATATGTATATATATATATATATATATATATATATATATATATATATATATATATATATATATATATATATATATATATATATATATATAATACATTGATTAATTGTTTTTATTATAATTATTTTTTTAATATTGAATTTTTTATAAGTAGTATTTTCCCTCTGAATAATTTATATATATATATATATATATATATATATATATATATATATATATATATATATATATATATATATATATATATATATATAAATTATTCAGAGGGAAAATACTACTTATAAAAAATTCAATATTAAAAAAATAATTATAATAAAAACAATTAATCAATGTATTGAGTCAAGTATAAGTGAGTACAACATCTTTCTTGTTGTAGCAGAAAAAGCTTAAGCTACATAAAAATTAAAATTACAATAAAAGCAATCAATCAATACATATTAAATATAAGTTAAACAATGAAATTATTGTATTGTAATTAATGACTTTTCACATTGATTGATTGAATTAAAAGAAATACTTGTACAACGTTAAGACGCTTATTACATATTTCAGGAAAACACAATTAAAAAATAATTATTAGAGGAACCTCTTTGAAAATATTTATTAAATAACGTTTGTAGGCATCTATATTAGCTTATTTTGTATAAAAGTCAAATTTGATTTTTTTACCGTAAGGCATTTTAAAAAATGGCTACAGCATTATAAAATAGCATTGAATAATATAAGCAATCAATTAATGTACTAAGTCAAGTATGAGTACAACAACACTTGTTGAGCCAAAAGAGCTATATATATATATAAAAATACAATAATAATACTAAACTCTTGCTGTAAACTCACAAGCCAAATCACAACACTTTAAAGCCATAAAAACAACATATTCACTTACACACAACACAAATTGAAGCATTTTATATATTACAGGTATTAACACATTTATGACAGAATTTTTGACTACACCAAATTTTTTTTTAAAACATCTTTGCTTCTAACAAGGCTGCAAGCAACCACTAATTAGTGTTGGAAGTTACTGGAAGAGAAAAGATGAAGATTGTAGAGCATAATAATGATTGACAGACAACTTAAAAGGATGCAAATTATATGAATCAGGAAAGCAAGATGAAGGAAGCGAATTCCAAAGAACTTTTGTTCGAGGAAAAAAACTAGATGAATAAGAGTTTTTGGAGCACTTAGGAACAGTAACAGTAAAAGAATAAGACTTAATTGAATGACGAGAAATACGAGAATGAATTTTAGTAGATGGCACAAAAGATGTTAGCTCTTTAGAGCAGTGCCCATTATAGTATTTGTAGAAAAGAGAAAAAGAAGCGACATTACAACGATATGACAGAGGTTGAAGGTTGGCTGCAAGAGCCAGTCCAACTATGTTTACAATGCGTTTTTGCACCTTGTCTAAAAGAGAAAGGGCATCATTAGAAGATCCGCCTCAGATATGGCAACAGTATTCCATACAAGGCCGGATTTGAGATATATTTAGAGATAGAGATTAGAATCCAGAGTAAGAAAGTTACGAGCTCGATAAAGAAATGCAACTTTAAGAGATGCTAATTTTGCAACGAATTTGATATAAGGTTTCCAAGAAAGATCAGAAGTAAGAGTTAGTCCTAGAAGATGAAGGGTATGAGACTCGAGTACATTACCGCCAAAAT